CGCACACTGACGCACCGCTTCTCCGGCCATGCTGAGGCGGCGTCCCACATACAGCAACTAGAAGGATGTGCAACTATGATGTACAACTATCTACTGGGGCTTTGGGGGAAAAAAGAGGAGGAGGATTGGCAATAGATGTTAGCTCAGAGCTGGTCTTCCTCAGCAAAAAGAGGAGGATTAGCACAGATGTTAGCTCAGGGCTGATCTTCCTCACAAAAAAAAAAAAAGAACTTAAAAAAAAAAAACTCTCAGAAAAACAGGAAGGGGGGAACTTTCTCAACTTGATAAAGAGCATCTAGAAAAAAACCTACCACTAATATTATAATTAATAGTGAAACGCTGAATACTGTCCCCCAAGATTGGGAACAAGGCAAGGACGTATGCTCTCACCAATCCTATTCAAGATAGTAATGGATGTACTGGCCAATGCAATAAGGTAAGAAAAGGAAATAAAAAGCATACAGATCAAAAACGAGGAAATAGAACTGTCCCTATTTGCAGATGACGTGACTGAATAGGTAGAAAATCCTAAGGAATCTACAAAAAGGACCTCTTAGAACTAATGAGCGAGTTCAGCAAGGTCACAGGATACAAGATAAACAAACAAAAATCAACTGTATTTCTACATACTACCATGGACACTGAAGTTAAAAATATAATACCACTTACAATTACTCAAAAAAATGAAATACTCAGGTATAATTCTAAAAACACATGTGTAGGACTTATATGTCGACAACTACAAAACACTGATGAAAAATCATAGAAGAGTAAATAAATGGAGAGACATACCATGTCTGTGGACTGGAAGAGTCAACACAGTAAAGATGTCAATTCTCCCCAAAATGGTATACAGGTTTAATGCAATTCCTATCAAAATCTCAGCAACATTTTTTGTAGATATAGACAAGATTATTCTAAAATTTATATGGAAAGTCAAAGGAACTAGAATAGCTAAAATAATTTTGAAAAAGAAGAATGAAGTGGAAGGAATCAGTCTACTCAACTTTAAGATTCATTATATAGCTACGGTAATCAAGACTATATGGTATAGATACACAGATCAATGGAACAGAACAGAGAACACAAAAATGGGCCCCACAAATACACCCAACTGATTGTTGACAAAGATGCAAAGCAGTTCAGTGGAGGAAGGTCAGGCTCTTCAGCAAATGGTGCCAGAGCAAATGGACACCCAGAGGCAAAAAAGTGAACCGCAACCTGGACCCTCACACTTTACACAAAAGTTAACTCAAAATGGGTCATGGATTTAAATGTAAAATATAAAACTTTTAGGAAAAAAAATAGGAGAAAATCTTTGGGATCTAGGGTTGGAGAAAGAGTTCTTAGACTTGACACCAAAAGTATGACTCATAAAAGGAAAAGTTGATAAATGGGACTTTATTTAAATTAAAAATGTTTGCTCTGCAAAAGACCCTGTTAAGAGGATCAAAAGCTAAGCTACAGACTTGGAGAAAATATTTACAAATCATATATCCAATAAAGGACTAGTATCTAGAATACTCTCAAAAGTCAACAGTTTAAAAGAAAAAATCCAATTAGAAAATGGGCAATAGCCATGAGCAGACATTCTACCAAAGAGGAGGTACAGATGGGAAATAATCACATGAAAAGATGGTCAACATCATTAGCCATCACGGAAATGCAAACTACAACCACAAGGAAATGTCACTACACACCATCGGTGGCTAAAATATAATATAGTGCTTCAATGTGGAGGAACCTGGAGGATATTGTGCTGAGTGAAATAAGCCAGACACAAAAGGGCAAATACTGTATGATTCCCCTTACATGAGGTCCCTAGGGGAGTCAGATCCATACAGACAGAAAGTAGAATGGTGGGTACCAGGGTCTGGGGGAGGGGAGAATGAGGAGGTGTTTAATGGGAACAGGGTTTCAGTTTCGGGAAGATGGAAAGTTCTGGAGATGGATGGTGGTGACGGTTGCACAACAGTGTGAATATGCTTAATGCCACTGAACCGTACACTTAAAAATGGTTAAAATGGTAATTTTATGATATGTGTATTTTACCACAATTTTAAAAAATAATAAAAAATATACTTAAAAAAGGAAAGAAAGGAATGAATGGTACTCCATCCTTCAGAAACATAGGATCCAGGGTCCAGTACACAGATCGAGGCCTCACTTCCTCCATTGCATGAAGCCCAGATGGACAGTCTCCCTGGATTGAGGGAGTTCATGCCCAGCCCAGGCCGGGGTCAGAGATCCAGAGGCTCCTTGGAGCAGGACAGCCAATACGACAGGCCTGCAATTCTGAAAGGGCTGGTGCTCTCAGGAACCAATGCATGTCACCCTTGCAGAGCGTACAGTAGCCAAGAAGCAGGGCAGGACCTAGACGTAAATACCTGGGTCTGGACAGGGGAGTACGGGCTTCCGGGTTCCCCACTCAGCAGAGTTTCACTGTTCATTTTCGTTTTCAGACAAGCGATATATCGGCTGCAGAAATCTTTGCACAGTTCATTAACCTTTTCCAGCTCAAGAAGATGAATTCGCAAAACCTGGATTGCTTTTACCATCTAGAAGCGGAGAAAATGAAGACTTTCAGACAAGACAAGTAGAGGATGATGGTAAGTTACAATCGTCACCACAGAACCCTTCTGTTATCAGCCAGAACACTGGACAGCCGTGGCATGTGTGCTGCCAATAACAGAAGGGGAATAACATCAGAAATTAGGCAAAATGGCAAATCATTCCAGTGCCATTGACCTGTGGTTTGGTATCTGGGGAAGAAGACAGTCCCAGGCTGACCTCAGTGAGCCACAGTGCCAAGGGACAGCCGGGCTTCAACCCAGCTCCACCACTGACTGGCTACATGACGGGCAAGTTACCCACCCTCGCTCTGCCTCTGTTTCTTCACCTATAAATGGGGATGAATCCATACCCACTTCATAGGCGGTTCTTAATTTTGATAAAGTTCAACTTATCATCTCTGCCTTTTATGGATGGTGCTTTTCGTGTCAAGTCTAAGAACTCTTTGCCTAGCCCCAGATCCTAAAGATTTTCTCTTATGATTTTTCTAAAAATTCCATAGTTTTGTATTAAGTCGCTAAGTTTTGGGGTAATCTGTCCCACAGCAGTAGATAACTGACACTAATAATGAAACTATTACCATAAGCTCCACTTGCCTATGAATCTACAACCCAAAGCTCAGCCCCTTCCCCCGTGACCTTGGTGGTGGTAACTCACAGGTACGTGTGGAATGAACTGATCAATCGATCGGTCGGTAATGAGAATCATCAAGCACAAAGCTCTGCTGGGCCCTGTGCTGTAACACCAGTCAGGAGAGACTCGACACTCTGGCTATACCTGCCCCCACTCGCTGATGGCCATAGGACAGAGACTTAGAGGCAGAGAGAGCTTCTGGTCCTCATCCCACAAGGGTAGGCACTGTAGTTCCATTTCAAAGATGAGGAGACAGACCCAAAGTCAGACACACCTATAAAATCTATCAGATCCTAAGGGTTGAATACGTAATGAGAAATTGAAAACAGAAAACAAAAAAACTAAGACCCCGGCAATTTATTCAGGAAAAAGTTTTCCAAAGACCCTCTTCTGCTGATAAGGGCCCTGACTAAGGGTTTGGCCAGAGAGCTAGCTGGCTCTGAAGGAACTGCAGTGAAGGAGCACTGAGGCCAGGTCTGTGTTAGCCAAACCCAGGAGGCCAACCCTCGGTTACACTCGGCAGGCGGGCAGGCAGGCTGCAGACACAGGCTAACGCTGCCCCCAGGGCCGAAAGTCACCACTCCCTTTGGGTGCAGCATTGACGTTAACCCCAAAGAATTCTCCACCTCCTTCGGAAAGCACAGAGAACCCTGAATTCTGCAGCACTGGAACTGGGAGCAGGGCGCTCACGTGAGACAGACTGGCCTCAGACAGAAAGGCCCACGGAGGCAGTGAGGGGCTTCAGAGGACTCTGCTAAGCCTGTCCCTGCTCTGTGCTCATCGTGGGCCCCCCCGAGTCTTCACACAGCTTTGTCACCCACCCAAATTAGCGCCAGCCTCAAGACAAAGCTGTCCTGGAGAATAAAGTCCTGTGTCCACGATCAGGGGAAAGCCAAGGACAGAAGCTGGGCAGACAGGCTGCCTGAGAAGCAAGGCAGGTGAGCACCCCAACCCCCAGAGACCTTCTCAGATATTTAGGGGAGGACTGGACCACCCAGTCCAGCTAGGATGCAGGCTCAAACCATCTCACCCGGTTATAAAGGAGAGGGTCACTGGAGGAGGCCGGACACGGGAGACGTTCAAGTCACACACACATAAAATAAGTCATTTCAGGAACTGTACGCGATTCTCCCCTTCAGCAGAACTACAAACAGTCTCAAGTGCTAATTAGAAGTTTAAAACTCAATGAACAGATTTTAAATTTGGAAGAAACAGAAAACATAAATGAAACATTTTACTTACCAAATTGTCAGTTTCCGGATCTTCACAAAAAAAGGGTTTTCCTTCCTTCTCTTGCTTCCTTACAAAATTTTCAATATCCACATCAAAACTGGCGGAAGTTGTGCCTTCTGAGCCCTGGGTAGATTGTTCACACTTTTCAAACAACAAAGCTAATAATGGAAAAAGTGGATGCCTGGGGGAAAAAAAGAAAAAAAAATGTACGTTCTACATTTTCATGAGAATGTTTTAGTATGAATATATGCATTATTTTATCTAACAGCTTTGTTCAAGTATAATTCACATAACATACAATTCATCCCTTTAAAGTTTATAATTCAATGGTTTTTAGTATATTCACAGAGTTGTGAAACCATCATCACAGTCAATTTTAGAACATTTTCATCATTTCCAAAAGAAACCTGTAGCCATTAGCAGTCCCTCTCCATCTTCCTCCAAACCCCAGCCCCAGGCCGCCACTAATCTACTTTCTGTCTTGATAGATTTGTCAGTTCTGGACATTTCATATAAACGGGATCATAGAATATGTGACCTTCTGTGTCTGGCTTCTTTCACTGAGCATAATGTTTTCAAGGCTCATCAATGTTGTAACACGTATCTGTACTTCATTCCGTGTTATGGCCAAATAATATTCCATTGTATGGATACACCAGTTTTACAGTTTTAAAATCTACATTTAGATCTATACTCCATTTTCAGTAAATTTTTGTATAAGATTTGAGATTAGATGGAGGATCTTTTTCTGCATATGGATGTCCAACTGTTCCAATACCATTTGTCGAAAAGTCTACCTTTTTTCCACTGACTTGTTTTTGCACCTTTGCCAAAGATCAAAGGAATCATATTTGTGTAGATCTATTTCCGAACTCTATCTGTGACATTGACGTATGTGTTCATCCTTTCACCAGTATCACAACATTTTCATTATTGTAACATAACAGTAAATCTTAGAATCAGGTAGACTGATTCCTCCAACTTTACTCTTCTTTTTCAAAATTGTTTTAGCTGGTTTAGTTCTTTTTGACTTCCATATAAAATTTAAACTTAATTTGTCTATATGTACAAAAATATTCTGCTGAGACTTTAATTGGAATTGCCTAAAATCTGTAGGTCAATTTCAGGAGAGTTCACATCTTTACTATGTTGAGTCTTCCAATCCACGAACATGGTATGTCTCTCCACACCATTTATTTAGGTTTTCTTTGATTGTTTGCATGAGCATTTTACAGTTTTCAGCATAAAGGTTCTGTACGTGTTTTGTTAGCTTTATACCTTAATTTTTTTGGAGTTTTTGTGAATGGTACTGCCCTTTTCATTTCAGTTTCCAATTGTACATTACTGGCACAGACATAGGACTGGTTTCTGTGTGTTGCCCTTGTATCCTGTGACCTTATTAAACTCACTCACTAGTTCTGGAAGTTTTTTGGCAGACTCTTTGGGATTGCCTATGCAGCCAATCATGTCGTTTACGCACAGAGCCACTTTTGTTTCTTCCTTTCTAACCTGGGACACCTTTTCTTTCTTTCCCTTGCTTTACCGCACTGGCGAGGACTTCCACTACAGTGCTGAATGGGAGTCAGAGTGGACATCTCTGCCTTCTTCCCAGTCTTAGGAGAAAGCATTCAGTCTTTCACCATTAAATATGATGTGAGCTGTAGGATTTTCTGTATTTGCCCTTCATCAGCTTAAGAAAGTTCCCCTCTATTACCGCTTTGCTGACAGTTTTTAACCGTAATTGGCGGTTGACTTTTGTCAAGTGCTTTTGTGCATCTCTTGATAGGATCACGTTGTGGATCTCATTGTTGATCTCTGAATACTGAACCAGTCTTGCATTTCTGAGATAAACTCCACTTGGTCACTATATATTATTCATATTATTCCAATATTATTCTATTATTATATATTTCTGTATTCAATTTGTTAATATTTTATTGATGATTTTTATGCCTCAATTCATGAGGGATATTTGTCTGTACTTTTTTTTTCTTGTATTGTCTTTAGTATCAGAGTAATGTTTAATTCATAAAATGAGCTGGAAGCATTCTCTCTTCTTCTATTTCCTGGAAGAGATTGTGTAGACTTGCTATTTTTTTATTCTTTATATTTTTGGTAGAATTCTCCAGTAAAACCATCTGGGCCTGAAGATTTCTTTCTGCAAGGTTGACTAAACTGTAGCTTTATATTCCAAAACTCTTTTTTTAAAGCTATTAGAAATACATCTTAATCTGAGGACATTTTCAGCCCAGCAGTTATCACATCCTACCTTACTACTCTGCCCAGCTAATGGCTCTAGTGTTCCACCCCACAAGGTTTCTACTCTCCTTACTCGTCTTAAAACCCACACGCATCACATCCCTTCTACCTATAAATGGCCTGCTTGTCTGCGTCCATCGGTGTCTGGGACCCCACGGGGGGAGGGCTCACTCCTTCCACATCAGGTTCAGGGCAGGTGGGGTCTTGCTCCGTTTTTAATTCTGTCACTACTTGCATCTGTGAAAGGAGGAGGAGAATTTTGGTTACTAAACACATAATAAACTACTACTAAATATTCTACTCTCAAACAGGAATGCAATGGGAATGGAAAATTGCCAGACAGTTACATGACTGGCAATAACGCAAAAGAATGCCAGCAACAGAACTCCATTGAATTTAACATGCTTTTAAAATGGCTAAAACAAAGGTCAAATTCCCAAACCATTTAAAAACTGAGAGGACCAATATCTGTGAAATGCTTCTGATTTTCGAAACCATAGTAACTATACACCATTGAAGGGAATGGGTACGTATGCAGTCTTACTTGGCATCTCTACCTGCAGTGCATCCTCACACTGAAGGACGTCACATAAGACAAGGATTAACACGTGATCCAAGCTCTTTTTCTCTTGTCACAAAAACAACTCAAACCCAATATGCTATATATCTGCGACAGGCCTGAATTCTCCCCTGTCTGCCTTTAAACTTTGGGGATATACAAGCTATAAAAATATTTTAAAAAGTCAATGTATTCAGAAAGGAAAGACTAGCTGTGTTTAAAGAAATAGTATTAAACATAAGAGGAAGACAAAGATATTACCATTTAAAATGCTTTAAACTTGCTATGTTGTTTGTAACTTGGGTAAAACGTATTTAAATCCTTAAACATAAAGAATTCAGTTTATAAAAAAAACCAAAGTCGCTGCAGTAAACTTGTAATTACCCCTGAGCTGATCACCACCCATTCAGCTTCTTCAGGATCAGACTGTCGGGATCCACTTGCCCCCACTCCAGATGCCACGCCTCTGCCCCTCAAGGAAGCAGCCGGTTGGGGAAGCTGAGGGGAGAGCCTGCGACCCGGCATGACCCCGCCCCGGCACCCAGGGCTGTGGGCTGAGGGGGCAGTCATGCAGATCCAGGCTCCAGGCCTTGTCCTCATCTCTCCAACAGTCTAGAGTGAGCAAGGAAACTTCCATTCTGCTGCCTTCAGACGGAACAGTGTACTTGGGAATTGTTTTTCTCTCTCTCTTAAAAAAAACAAACACTAAAGCAGCTAACTAAAGCCCAATCGAACACAATCTTTCCGAAAGGAAATCAGACAGTATTATAAAAAAGCCTTACAAGATTTATTTCAGGTTGTTTTTTTGTTTGTTTGTTTGTTTTGGTGAGGAAGATGGTCCCTGAGCTAACACCTGTGCCCATCTTCCTCTGTTTTGTATATAGGATGTCACCACAGCATGGCTTGATGAGCGGTGCATAGGTCCACATCCAGGATCCAAACCTGTGAATTCCGGGCCGCAGAAGTGGAGCACACGAACTTAACCACTATGCCACCAGGCCAGCCCCTCAGGTTGTTTTTTAATGATTGTGAAAAAAGAGAAACCTAAATGTTCAATCTCAGAGGAACGGCTGAGTAAATTTGTATATCTATACTGTAGAATATTCAATGCTTATTTAAAATAATGTTCACAAAGAGCTGTCCACGTCATGGGGAAGTGCCTAGCTACCAAAGGCAAGGCCTTGTCCCTCGCTGTGCCCGGCACTGCACTGGACACTCGGCCGCATCAGGGCACAGACCGGTCGGAGGAAGACGGACACAGGTAGGCACAGAAGGCCATCTTGTAACAGCTGTGTCAGAAGGTGATCAGTGCCACAGAAGGAGAACAGACATCAGAGGAAGGGACTGGGAGGGAGGCGGCAAAGGGGGAGGGAGCAGCTGCAATGGTAACAGGGCAAGCAGGGGGCTCTGCAGGAGGGGGACTGACGCAAAGACCTGCAGGACAGGAAGGAGTTGGCCAAGCTGCTGCAGAGGGAAGAGGAGCAAAGGGGACAGCCAGCGCCAGGCCACAGGGCAGAGGGAAGCCCAGGAGAGTGGTGGCAGAGGCAAGTGCACAGGAGGGGCTGCAGAGTGGCCTGGGGGGCTCAGGGCCAGGTAGGGCTCAGCAGGGGGCAAGGAGGGGGGCATCATTAGATTTGCATTTTAGAACAAAATTACTTGGAAATATCAGAGGACTTCCAGGTGAAGAGAGCAGAATGAAACAGAATTCCCCACCTCAATTCCTATAAGAAGCAAAAAACACTTAAAATTTTTTTAAAAACCAGCAAAAACAAACAAAATCTGTGCAACAGGAGCCAAACCAGGAATTGTGCAAAACTGGCCACCAAGGAAAGACATGAGCGTCGGGAAGAGCGGGGCGCAGCCTCAGGCCCTGACCGCCCACCTGGAACCTCACCGTGGCGGGGCGGCGACCTCTTATGGCGAGTCCAGTGGCTGGATCAGTTGACCCGGCTCCCTAAAATCCTCTAGCAGGAGGGAAGAGAGCCGCTGGGCATTCTGTTACCGCTCCTGACTACGCGGTCAGCGGAAGCAAAGGCAGGGTTGAACGTCTTCAGTGGAAGTGAGCTCCGGGCTCCAGGGTAAGAGGGGGAATGAGCCAAGGCCCCGGGCCCCCAAAAGAGGCTGCCTGTGCCTCAGCGGAGCTGCTCCCACCTCCCTCTACTCCCCGCTTCCTTCAGGTCACAGACACAAAACACCCAGGCTTATACTGTACCTCCAAGGGTAACCAAGTCTCAGGGACAGTGGGAGGGCAGTCAAGGAGCCACCCACATACCAAAGACAGCTGTGTAGGCACAGCCACCCCAGCACGAGCAGGCAAAAAGATACAGACTGCACTGCCACCATGCCACCTATATCCTCAGGACAGCTCCCTCTGCCGCTCTCACCTGGGGATACGAAACCACGGATTCCCGCTCAGATCAGCAACCGGCCAACATGGGAATCTGTGATTACCAACAACGTCCAGCTTTTCTTTAACAGCAACAATACTTACTGACACTGACATCAAAAAGGTAAATTCCCAAGAAACCTTGATTAGAGGAGTCAAAATGACTCGCAATCTTGGTGTCACTTGGGAATAATTTGAACAATTCTACAGCTCGTCTTCCTGAGCACCAACATATTATAAATGTGTGATACACCTAAAATTGAACCTGCAAGCTCACGGAGATGGAATTATAAACATCCAAAGCACTGATGGTGTGTGAGTACCAGGTCACTGACTGTACTCAGAAGGCAGAATAAGCTCAAGCTCTCACTTGTTGTCCATCTTGATAGCTGTCTATGCTTAACGTCTGTGTAGCCATCATGGTTGAGTCTTACTATAAAACATCAAATCATCTTGAGTCAAAAGCAAACAGTTTCTGGAAAACAAAAGCAGAAAAGTGTCAGTTAATAATTGTAGAGCACTTTTTTGTCCCCCTTATTCCACAGCATCCATATAATTTTTTTAAATACGTATTTTTACATGAAGAGAAAAAACCATCCTTAAGCCTGGGTCACAAGCCAAATCCTCCTCAGCATCACCCCACTTACCTGGTGCTCACGTATCTGTACTTGGACCAGGCCCCGACTTGTTATCACATTTCTCAGCCATCAGGGTTTATTCATTCACTCACCCAACAAATATCTAGCAAATGTCCACACATGCAGGACACTGTTCTGGACCCTGGGGAGCTGCCGTGAACAAACAGGTGAGGCCCTGCTCTCCGGGGGCCGACGAGGCCAGGAGGAGGGGGACTCAGGCAGCACTCACGGAGACTTGGGCAGGGGGTCGCCCAGAGTGAGACGGGGGGGTGGGGGTGAGCGGTTCTCGGGCTGTGTGAGGGGGCAGGCCTCTCCGAGCAGGTGCCCTGAGCTGAGACTCACTGACTGCTAAGGATGAGGCTGGGTCTCACACAAGGAGGACAAAGGTGTGCTCAGGGAGCCTGGGCCGGGCACTCTTCTCACATCTGCATGTAATACAACGAAGGAAACAATGGCTCATGTACCTGTTGACATGCAAACAGGTAAATGATGTCAGGAGGTGATGAGAAGAGGAATGCAGAATGTCTGGGGGAGGGCCCGTGCAGGTGCCTGGTGAGACACCGGGCAGGGAAGGCGTGAGCTCCTGCGACACCTGGAGGCAGGATGAGCAGCAGTGCCGGCCTGTCTGAGGGATAGCTAGTGCGCAGAGCAGAGGTAAGGGAGCGGGAGACACGGGACCAGGTCACACAGACTCAGACTCTGGTGGGCCGAAGTGAAGACGTGGGTGTTCTTGCGGGGACAGGAGACTATGGGAAGGTCTGAGCTGAAGGGTGCCACGACTTACAGCTCAGGAGGGTCCCTCTGACTGTGTGAAGGACAGACTGTGTGACTAGGGGGACACAAGGAGGACAGGGGTGCTGCCATGGTCGGGGAGGCGGCCTTGCGGACGAGGGGAGCCTGAGCACAGGCATCTGCAGATGGCCTGGGGTGGAGCGGGAGTGGGGTCAGGGAGGGTCCAGGGTTCCCACCTGAGCAACTGGCAGAGCAGAGGCACATGTCCCAAAATGCAGCAGATGGTGAGGGGCAGGTTCTGTGGCCTGGGAGGAGAAAGCAAGAGTTGGGACATGTTAGGTTTGAGGACACCCAAGAGGAAATTCTGAACAAATGAGCCTGGGCCAGAAATACAAGCTCGGTAATCCTCAGGGTGGGGTCAGTAAGTGCACAGGGTCGAGCTGTGTCCTCCAAGACATGCCCCAGTCCTAACCCCCATCCCGGCAAGTGGGACCTTCTTTAGAAACAGGCTCTTCACGGATGTCGTTATGTTAAGGATCTCAAGATGAGATCATGCTGCATTGAGGAGACGCCCTCAATTCCATAACTGGCATCCTTACAAGAGGGGGAGAGGAAGATTGAGACACACTGAGGGGATGGCTGTGTGAGTCAGAGAAGGGACCGGAATGATGCTGCCACAAGCCAAGCACACATACAGCCCCGGAAGCTAGAAGAGCAGGAAGGACCCTCCCCTCGAGCCTTCAGAGGGAGCAGGGCCCAGCCAGCACCTTGACTGGGGGCTTCTGGTGACCAGAACCATGAGAGAATACATTTCTGCTGTTTTCACCCACCCAGTGTGTGGGACTTCTGGCAGCCGCAGGACACTAAGGCAGTATGCAAAGCCACAAGGCTGGGCGAGACCAGCCGGGAAGAGAGAGGAGGCGGCCACGCCATGTGAGAAGGCAGGAAGGTCAGAGGCCCCAGCACAGAATGAGGAGCAGCAGCCAGCAGGACAAGACTGGAACCCAGTGGGGCCACTGACGTGGGTGGAGGAGGTGGACCGAGGAGGGGGTGTCAGCCATGTTAGTGCAGCTGAGTGTGGCCTTGGGGACCCACAGCGGTGTCCGTGCAGTGGGGAGAGGAAAACCTGATCAGAGTGGGGCGGGAGTGGAGCATGGGACTCGGCAATCCCCCTGCTGGGACGTGAACTCACGTGGAGCCATCACCAAAGCTGCCCTCTCTGCACTCTGGCACCCCCAGTCTTGAGACAGAGGCCCCATCTGCAAACCTGTCGCTGAGCATCTCCTAAAGGTCTTTGCCTTCACCAAAACCTGGCCCTCCTCGAGTGTCCTAAGCCCCCCAGCGCACTGACTCCAACCCAGCACCATGGGCCACACCTTGACCACGGCAGGAGTGCAGTGAGCCTCTGGTCTTACCTCCCCTCCATTCTCCACCTTCCCAAAGTACAAAGCTGGTCAAAACCGGCCCTGCAGATCAAGTCCAGGTGGCCCCTGCCCGACCCTGCCCTCCGGCAGCTGCATCCCCACTCCACGTTGTGTCCACAGTCAAAGGGATGGCCGTCTGTAGTTCCTCAAGCAGCCCGGCAGCTCTGCCCGAGCACTCTGGCCTTCTCTGTGCATGGCCAGCTCGTGAACACACACCATCACCCACACCACCTCCCCAGAGTCTTCCCAGTGGCTCAGCCACACGCGGGGCGTACGTCTCCCCCGGGCCCCCACATACACCCTATACTCAGCCCTGCAGTATCTCAACGGTTCATGTCCACTACACGCTCCTTAAGGGCCAAGGGCCCTGTCCTGCTGTGTCCCCACAGCCAGCACAGTTGATGTAAAGACAAACGTCTAAAGATAAATGACAGACAGACAACGTGTGATCCTGAGTCAGGTCCTGGACCCCCAAAATGTTATCTCCTTTTTACTATAAAGCTCTTTAGTGAGACAACAGGCAAAATTTAAATAAAGTCAGAGTAGATAACAGTATTATATGAATGTTCCTTTCCTGATTTTAATCACTGTGCTGTGGTTAAGACAGTATCCTTGTTTTGAAATGCATACTGAAGAATTTAGCCGCAGAGGGGTATCCTGTCTACAACTTACTCTCTCGAGTGTGCTGGTGTGTGTGTGTGTAGGAGCATACATGTACATGTACACACACACACACACACAACAGGGCATGGGGCTGAAAGAGAGACGGACGGAGAGAGTGAGCATGATAAAAAAAAAGTCTGGTAAAATGTTTACATTTGGGGCAGGTATATGGGAAGTCTCTGTACAACTTTTTGCAACTTTTCTGTAAGCCTGAAATTCAATGCAAAAATTTTTTTAAAGTTTAAAATTTTTAGAATTATAAAAAAGGTGAGAGAACTATTCTCGGTTAAAAGAGAGTAAAGAAACAACCACCACAAGCAGCACGTGATCCTGGATTGAAAAACGACAGCTGTAAGAGAGGCCTGAGGAGCTCAGGGAGCTGTGACTGTGAGGGAGGCGCGCCAACACTGGAGACGGGTGTCCCCGACAGTGATAACATGCACGTTTATGGGAAGCATCTTCGTGTGGAGGAGCACAGGCTGCCACGTTTAGGGGTGTGGTTATGACGTCCACAACTTGCTTTAAACGGTCAAGAGCACACAAAGTAACCAAACTGCGGCCAGGGTCAACAGCTGTCATATCTAGGCGGCAGGGGGTCACCTTCTACTTTCAACTTTTTTGTGTTTCAAAATGCCCATAATAAATATTGGGGAAAACTCACAATTTAATTTAAAAACATATAGCTTAGATGTGCAACCATGACATACAACTATCTACTGGGGCTTTGGGGGAAAAATAAATAAATTTAAAAAAACAAAAAAACATATAGCTTTGCAGTCTTTTTCTCTACCAAAACTGGTTAAAAACTTCAATATCTGATATAAATTGGTCCAACAGTTCTAAAGGAAAAATTTGAAATTTGTGTCAAAAGCTTTGAAAATATGTGCTCTCTCTGCAACGGAACATTGTACAAGGAACTGGAAAAAAGGGCAACTCTATACGACTAACACGCACTGTTGAGGGAAAAGGGGACAGAGTGCAAGGTGACCAACGTCTCTACGGGACCCAAAGGAGCCGCGGAGAAATTGCCAGCAGATGGCGCCGTCCGCTCGAGAGGCTGAAAGCCGGGTAGAGAAGCTCCAGCACAGGGAAGAGCCATCTGCAGTTTCGTCACTCATAAGCCGCGGAGTCCCTTCCACATTCCGCTCTCCAGCAAAATGATCCGGCACCTTTGGGTAGTAACCGCGACTGGCACCCGCAAGCAGGCAGGCAAACTGCTCCCAGCAGCATTCTCAGGGGTCATCCCAGCGCGACTCCTGGGGCTCAGGTGTTCCGCTCCTGTCAAGGCCTCTGTCAGTCTGCTCAGGTACAGAATCCAAGTGACTAAGTAAAATCCAGCATGAACTGGGAAATAACTAAAAGCATCCAAGCCAAGGATGAACAGTCAGCAGGCTCATCTTTGTTTATCAAAAACTGTTTTATTAGGTGTTATGTAAAAACCAAAGGCTAACTTGAGATTTAGAAACAATCAATAAATCCCTATTTCTTCCGCCCATTACACAAAAAATAAGTTTCTATTATGTTCCAACTCAAATAGCAGTGTCTTAACTTCTTAACATCACATGGGGCTCTAAAATCCAAGACGAAGAACTGCCAACCCAATGGACTTAGAATACTGGGGTGTCTAAGGATTAGGCAGAGTTTTTGTCCATTTTGTTTCTACAAGTTTCATCCAATAAAAAAAGGACACACCATTTATTGAAGTTATCACCTTGGTACCCTCTCAAGAGTTCCAGCCTCACTCATACAAATGAAGAAAACACAACTTTTCCAACCTTCATGTACAGAAATACTAAGACTCACTAGTAGTTAAAGAAATACAAAATTTTTAATATATTTTTTCATCTAGCAATTATTAAATTTAAAGCAACAGTACTACACTTTGCTAGCAGAGATGAAGTACAACCTGGAACTCTGAAGGAATCCTAGGACTCATAACCCGGTAACTGGTTTGGAAAGCAATCTGACCATATGTACAGTTAGCCCATAAAAAAAAGTACATTCAAAATCAACCTAAGAACATAACATTAGTGTTGTGACCTTAATAGCAGAAAAAATATGAAATATAGGTCAAATCTAATAGGCTGGCATTTTAATATTTTAAAGCATTCTCGTCCAGACTGACTGAAGAATAAGGAAGTTCTTCAGAAAAGAACTGGCTATAAACCGAGTGGTGAATCCCATCTGCTCAGCTCAGATGGATGAATCTGGGAAGGTTCCTGCAGGCTAGGAAATCCGTAGAAGCTGGAAAAGAAGGTGCAGTGTGCAGAGGAAGGGTCAGAGGGCAGAGGAAGGCCCCGCTGTTGGTGGCACCTCACCTCCTCTCCTCTCAGCCACAACTCTCCAGATGGGAACCCCTACCTGTCTGAGACGATTTAATTGTTGCTTTAGTGGTATCTCTAAGCCCTGAGGAAGGTTTAAATTTTCATATTTTTGTATCTACCTTCAGAATAATCTATGTATTTGACATTTAAGGCATTTGTAGTATTTAAGAAAATTTGGCAAATTAATCTTAGCTTTTACCCTTGATTCCAGTTTAAAATGCATAATTGAGTTACTGATTCTAGACATGATTTCTTTTTTAGTGAAAAGGTGTAAGATTTTTATGAAGACTGTAAACATTTCTTCGTTTATTCAAGTTGACTGATTGCCAGGCACTGCTCTAGGTACTGGCAATACAGCAGTAAACAAAACCAAGTTCCTGATCCCACGAAGCTCACTTCCTGGTAGACGGGTTTGGAAAGTCTGAGAACTTGAGATTCACTATACAGCGCTCCCCCTTTATCCATGGTTTTGCTTTCTGTGGTTTCAGTTACACATGGTCAACTGCAGTCTGAAAATATTAAATGGAAAATTCCAAACACAAACAATTCATAAGTTTTAAATTGCACGCCTTCTGAGTAGTGTGATGAAATCTCGGGCCGTCCCGCTCTGTCCTGCCCGGGACGTGAATCATCCCTTTGCCTAGTGGATCCACGTTGTATACACTACCCGCTACCCGCCCATTAGTCCCTTAGCAGCCATCTAGGTCATCAGATCAACTGTTGTGGTATCACAGTGCTTGTGTTCAGGTAAACCTTATTTTACTTAATAATGGCCCCAAAGCACAAGAGTAGTGACACTGGAAATTTGGTTTTGCCAAAGAGAAGCTGTAAAGTGCTCCCTTTAAGTAAAAAGGTGGAAATTCTCAACTTAATAAGGAAAGAAAAAAATCATAT